TATTTTTTATAACATCTTTTAAACTTGATGAAACACATGAACTTAGAGGATCTTGATGGCAGAGGTTAAGGGCAAATTTGATGAAGATTTGTATTATAGAAAGTGGATCTGCTTGGGTAATCTTGCTGTAAGCCAGATCACTCCCAAACCTCAGTAGTTAGAAACAGAGATAGATAATCATGTATAACCCATCAGGATTCCCCTGAGCTGAGAATTCGGGGCACACTCTGCCAAGTGGCTCTGACTTGGCTTCTATGGGATTGTTATGTCATCTGGCATGGCAGGGATGCATGAGCTGAAAGCTTCTCACTCCAGTGGCTGGGGCTGGAACAGCAGAGGCTTGTGAGCAGTGCTGGGCTTCTCAGCATGTCTCACTGTTTGCTGCCCCCAGCACAGCAGCTCCAGGAAGTAAGACTTGTTTCACGTCAACAAGCCTTTTTCTAGTTGTTCTAAAATTGTTATGGTTTAGTGTTTTACATCTAAGTTTTGTTTTATTTACTTTGGATTGTGTGTGTTTGTGTGTGTGTGTGTGTGTGTGTGTGTGTGTGTGTGTGTGTGTGTGTAGTATATAAGAAGAGTCTATTTTCATTTTTCTACATGTAGATAAAAGGAAATACCGTGTACATGTATGTGTATATGTATACACACACACACACACACACACACACACACACACACACACACACATACACACACACAATTGAATGTTACTCAGTCATGAGAAAGGAAGTCCTACCACTTGTGACCATATGGATGAGTCTGAAAGGGTTGTAACAAGGGAAATAAATGAGACACAAAAGGACAAACACTACAAGATATCGTTCACATGAGAAATCCAAAATAATCAAACTCACGGGAGAGATGAGCAGAAGGGTGGTTACCGGGGCTGCTGAGGAGAGACAAACGCCTCGTGAACTATTCAGAGGTCTGGCTTCTCAGTTGTCCAAGATGGATGAGAACATCACAGGCCTATAGTTAATAATACTATGTTGCATGCTTCAAATTTGTCAAAAGAGTAGATTTATTTCTAAGGAAAGGGGGGGGGTTATTTGGGTTACAGTGCCAGGTTATAGGTCATCATTATGGGAGAGTTGGGGTGGCATGAACTTGGTGTTTAATCAAGTATAATAATTAAGAAGGCATGAAGATCTTTTGGTAATGGTTCTTTCAAGGAACTGGGTGGAGTGCTGGATGTCAATAGCAGTTAACAGAAGTTGGTGTCCTGATCCCTCCTCTACCGCTGTGGTAGGAAGGGTCTCAGCCTTGCCTTATAAGCAGTCTCCTTGGGAACTGTAGGCTGGGGAATCCTCAAGTCCCCACCTTGTACGTGTAAACCAGGTGACATGAACTCAGGGAAGTTGTGTATTACAGTTGGCTCAAGACAAGTTAGAGCCAGCAAGTAGTACTCTTGATTCCAACCACAGCATTCCCAAAGGAAGAAATTAAAACAGAAGTTTAAAGAGCAAATAAAGAAAGCCAAGGAATGGGAATGCTTCCCCTACAAAGATTCTTTGGAAGTAAAATGTGTGAAAGCCTGTCTTTTCATGGAGAATAATACACAAAAGATATGATATGGCTAGCCAGTACTTTTAGTTGTCAGAATAAGCAAACCTCCAAGACCCTTGCAACTGCTTCTACCCCAACTACCTCCAGGCTCATCAAAACTGAGTCTGGCCATGACCCCCCATGTGGGTAGAACTGGCTAGTTTCACAGTAGTAACGGTCAAAAGATCTAAATATGAGGTTCCGTGAACCAATGTTTGGGAAGAAGTTCTCCAAAACTGTCTAACACTGGTCCTTCACTTGGGATTTAGGAAGAGAATGATGCTCTAGGAAGGAAAGCAGAGTGGTATACAAGTGTTAATCTTTCACTCAAAGCAGAATAAAAAGGCTTCTGGCAGAGTTTGCTGTCTGGTTCAGTTTGCTGTGGAAAATCAGTCACCCGACTCTCACTCCACTTTCATACAACAGTTCTCTCTCCCTCTCTTTTCCTTACTCCCAAAAATATTTTTTTTTCTTTTTTTTTTTTTTTTTTGGTTTTTCGAGACAGGGTTTCTCTGTGTAGCTTTGCGCCTTTCCTGGAACTCGCTTTGGAGACCAGGCTGGCCTCGAACTCACAGAGATCCGCCTGGCTCTGCCTCCCGAGTGCTGGGATTAAAGGCGTGCGCCACCACCGCCCGGCTTCCCAAAAATATTTTACATGATGTTTCCCACATCATCCCATTCACTATTATTTAAATAACAACGGATGAGCAGGTAAATTTAAATCTTTTCATCATTATAATTTTAAGTAATGTGTAGGTGTGTGTCTGTGGAGAGAGTATGTGTACATGTATGCAAGTGCCCATAGTGGCCAGAAGAGGGCATCAGATCCCCTGGAGCTCATACCCAATATGAGTGCTGGGAATTGAATTCAGGTCCTCTGCAAGAGCAGTATGTGCTCTTAACCAATGAGCCATCATCTCTCCAGCTCCAAATTTACAGATTAATGTAATTATCTAATGATTTCAGCATAAGCTTTATTTAATAAAAATATACACAAGCTGTACATAGAGTTTAAAATTTGCTAGTAGTGACATTTAAAAGGGTAAGACAAAACTGGTAAAATTTTAATAAGATATTAAAATGATCTCACTATTCTAAAATACCGTGTCTACAGATAATCATCATGAAATTGTTAATGAGATATTTGATAATTTTGTCTCATATTGTCATTTAAATCTAGCATGTATTCTACACATACTGCCCACCTCTATTCTGGACCATCTCCAGTGCTCAGTGGTCCCACATAGCTAGCGACTACTATGTTGAGCAGCACAATTTTATAAATATTAATCATTGGAGATTTTCATTAGAAAGAAGAGTCCAGACGGTAAAAATCTCCAATTATTTTGAGGGAGGTGAGAGCAAGACTAGACAGTTTTTATGAGGCATGTTGTCTTATGAGAAAACTGTAATTACCTCCTCAGCCATGAGTCAACATAAAAAATGTTACTCATTAACAAGGGTAGCCTCACCTCACATGCTATCATATGGCCTGATTTTAAATGTCTTATTTCTGTCTTTGGTAGTTTTGGAAGATATTTAGCCAAATAAGCTTGGCTGAATACTACAGGCACCAAATATCTGCACTATTCTGTTTTATAAGGTATCTAACTGGCACTTACAGAATAGGCTGGTCCCAGGGGCTTCAAGGCCTGGTATAGGGGCATCCTTAGACCAGTGCCCACTCATGGTTCTGTTTAAGAGCTTCCCAGAAGGGGTTGTCTGTTAACTTCACTCACTGTCACATTCTGTTTTTGCCTATCTTTGAAAATACCCTAAAGGTGTTCCCATCCATAGCAGCACAACTTAGACTCTTAAAACCAAATTCTTCTTCCTTAATCTCTCAGTCTTAGAGTGAAAGTAAATAGAGAAAAGAAGTGGGAAGGAAGAAATGGGTCTCTCTGTAGTCATTCATCTTGTTACTGTAGAGCCAAGTGTCCTATAATGATGTTAAAGACTATTTCCTAGGCCAGAGATAAGACTAACGCTTGCCTGGTTAGGAAGTAGGGATTACCCTGGAAACTAGCCTGTCTCCCTCTGCAGGGGTCAATTGTTGGATCTGGACCTTTCCAGGTGTCCTGGCCTTGGGTAGTGAGCATATCCAACCTATGTTGATCCTAAATCATAGCCTCGTTGGACCTTTGGAATCTTAAAGGACCCTTCTTTCCCAAGAGAGTGGCCATTCCCTGTAAGTGGGATCAAAATCAGGGTCACAATTATGGTGGATGCCACTGAAAGAAACCTAACTGCATCTGCTATTTTTAAGTATTCAGCTCTCGCTCTCTCTCTCTCTCTCTCTCTCTCTCTCTCTCTCTCTCTCTCTCTCCCCTCCCTCCCTCCCCCTCCCTGTGCATGTGTGTGTGTGTGTGTGTGTGTGTGTGTGTGTGTGTGTGTGTGTGTCTGTCTGTCTGTCTGTCTGTCTGTCTGTCTCTCTGTCTGTCTGCACAGGCCAGGCTAGGTATCCTGCAAACTTGCAATAGATTCTTCTGCCTCTGCCTTCCATCTCAAGAGCTCTAGGAGCTTCAGGGATACAGACACACACTGCTGAGTCGAGCTTTGTGTGGGTTCAGTGGCTCGAACTCAGACCCTCCCACTCTCAGTGCTTATGTCCACAGAGCCATCTCCCCAGCCTGTCACGTTCTAGAGTTTCTTAACAGCAATCCTGAGCTGTGGCAAGTGCGTTCTGCAACAAGCAGGTCTAAATGCATGGCCACTTCTTGGATCTTTGCCACACTCAAGTCGAATCAAGCTTTTTAGGTCAAGTGCATTTTAACTACAAACCAATCCATGTTTTATAGGCTATAAAGTTGTTATAGAGCAAGCAGAAAGCATATTCCAAAAGCTCTAAAAATCCGTAGCAAACTCATACCATGTGGTGGCAGTCTTACTGAGTGTGTTTGCTTCCTATGTGTTTCTTTTCTTTTTTTCTTTTTTTTTTTTTTTTTTTTTTCGGTTTTTCGAGACAGGGTTTCTCTGTGTAGCTTTGCGCCTTTCCTGGAAATTACTTGGTAGCCCAGGCTGGCCTGGAACTCACAGAGATCCGCCTGGCTCTGCCTCCCGAGTGCTGGGATTAAAGGCGTGCGCCACCACCGCCTGGCCCTATGTGTTTCTTACCATTGCTTGTTGTCAACGCAAGTGAAGGCCCTTCCCGTTATATTCACCATGCCAACATTTGTTCCATAGACCGGCACTAATATTTTCTGTGCATATAGCCTAGGAAAAGGATGGGGATCTGAAGGACTTACAGTTTAAAAACATTGATACCAGCTGTTTGATGTTTATTATAAAGTCAGAACAAGTTCATGTTCCTATCAAAAAATGACCACAGGTGGTGGCACCCACCTTTAATCCCAGCGCTCAGGAAGCAGAGGCAAGTGGATCTCTAAGTTCGAGGCCAGCCTGGCCTATAGAGTGAGTTCCAGGACAGCCACCAGTGCTACACAAGGAAACTTTGTCCGGGGGTGGGGGGAAGGGGAACCATGAATCTATATTCTTAATACCTCTGTCATATTATGACCTTTCCAGCATAATCCATGCCCCGCTCCCCTTGTTTCAAACAAAACCTCTAAACATGAATTTTGGTAGTGAAGTGACCTGCCAAGATGAAGCCAATTTCATCATTAATCAAATCCCTTATCATAAGGTACAATCTCATTATTATGGGGTGGAGGGGGGGGATGTTGATCCTGCCTTGACAGCTGAAAAGATTTGGATTCTTGCATGTCCCATGAGAATGATTTTGGTGAGTTTAAGTTCGGGTACGGCCTATTTGAAGCCAGAATAATTTTCCTCTACCGTGTATATGGTCACCTCTCTGCTTGGCAGAAGGTCTCACCTTGTGCTTTCTCATAAATGCTAACAACCCAGCTGGGCGTCACGTCTCTCCTCATCTAGTTCCTAATTTAAAACTGTTGTTTCATGGCTTGGCGTATGGACTGCTGGAGCTACTCCAGTAGCTCTTGGATGCTATGACTTAATAGATACTACAAAAGCCATGTTTGTCTGTCTTAGGCAGGTAGGTTTCTTAGAGCATAAATTTATTTATTTGTTTTAGAGAGAGAGAGAGAGAGAGAAAAAAAAATATGGGCGGATGGGCGTTATAGAAAGAAGTGAGTTACCACACAAGCGTTTTGAAGGCATCTCCTGGGCCGGCTGGAAATGTGGGACAGCTCTTAGGAGTCAGCTCTCTCCCTGTCTCTTGTGATCCTGGGGATCAAAGTCAGGTGGTCAAGCTTTGTGTGAAGTGTCTTTACCAGCTGAGCCATCCCGCAGGCCTGGCGTGCCGGTTTTTAAGAAGGGCCTTTTAGGCAAAGGCTAAAAGGAAAGATCAGTTTGAGGTAGGATGTGGGTCTTATTATTTCAGTCTGGTTTTTGTGCCCCGCTATTAGGGGGAAAAAAAAAAAGAGCCCACGCAGCTCTATGCTCAGCGCTGTGTGTGAGTGAAATATGCGTGGGTCAGTATCACTTAAACTGAGTCGCCATGCTCCAGACCTCTTGCTTAAAAATGGTAGAATTGTGGTAAAAGACTTAAAATCTAAAACAGCCTTTCTCAAGCTGCTAGAAGAATCGGTCTCCTTTCTCAGCCCATAAGAACCATCCATGGTGTTGATTAAAGTTGCCTGTTCTCTGAGCCCTGACCACTGAGCCTTTAAGTCAGTAAATCTGGACTCATCTGCATGTGTGAGTCAGTGCAGGTGGTCACATTTAGAAACAGCACCCAATGGATGCCCTGCATCTCCCAGTTGAGGGTATCCTGGCTCATTCTGTGATCTGTTAAGTTGCATAATCAAGGTCAGGAGGCCCGGGGCAGAGCCTGAGACTGCATTTGCAGCTGGCTCGGAGGATGCTCTGTGGCATTCATCCTCATCTATCTCAGTCTGCCTTTCTGAGCTCACTTGCCGCCTCTTGTTGATGATGCTCTACACCTGAGGTGGGTTTTGACCTCCTTCCCTCCTTCTGTTCAGAGGATGCTCACTGACTTTTCTTCTGTCTTTTCTGTCTTTCTGCATTGGAAGCAGACGGGCATCACCGGTGGCAACTTGAAGTGCCATCAGCTGTAACTCAAGTTCCTGATCCCAAGACCACAGCGGAACCTTCCCGGTCCCCAGAACCAAAGACCATGGAGCTTTCGGACAGTGACCGACCCATCAGCTTTGGCTCCACCTCATCCTCGGCCTCCTCCAGGGACAGCCATGGTTCCTTTGGCAGCAGGGTGACTTTGGTTTCAAATAGCCACTTGGGCTTATTTCACCCGGATAAGGAAGCTGGGGCCATAAAGCTGGAGCTGGTTCCAGCACGGCCATTTTCCAGCAGCGACCTGCAGCGGGACAACCCTTCCGGGCCACCGAACATGGATGGGGTCAGCGAGAGGCAGCCCAGGACCCCATGGAGAGTGGACCCAAACGGGACATCCCAACCCCATACAGATTCAGACACCAGCCCCAAGCTCCTCTATGTGGATAGAGTGGTACAGGAAATCCTGGAGACAGAGAGGACCTACGTGCAAGATCTAAAAAGCATTGTGGAGGTAAGGCAGACTCTAACGACTTTTAAGTTTGTCGAGCAGGGGAAATAGGCTTGCAAAATATAGAGGACAGCAAAGACTTTGTTTGGGGTGGGGGTGGGAGGGCAGGGTGATGTCTTCGATGATGCAGGAGTATACAAAGACAAATTCTTCACTTAGAGAAACCTAATGCTGTCACCTGGCCAATGGAGTAGTTGATAGTTGCATAGCAAATCAACTGTGTGTCAGGGACAGTGATGATGATATCGTGCACATATTCAGATAGCATACTGTTCTGCTAAATTCTAGCAGAACATGCTAGATGCTAGGGATCTCGGGGTACCTCTCAGCTAGTGGAGCAGATGGTAATGAGGGTGGAGGGTACCCCAAGCTTCTTGGTGAGTAGATGCTAGATGTCTCTGAACCCAATTGTTTTGACCTCAACCACAACTCTCCATGTATGTCTAGAAGTTTCTGAAACTACTGATACCTGGATCCTGCCCCCCTGAGAGGCTGTGAGTTCTGTGTCCTGGAGTGTGGGGCCTGTGGGGTGGAATTGGCAAAGACTCCCCCAGCTGACCATATGCGTTACCTAAAACCATTATTCTGTATTGGGGGAGGCTCTGTTGCTTGGTGTTTGGGAAAAGGGAGTAAATGGGGAAAAGAAAAATTCTGGGGCTTGTCTTGTTTTTCTTTTCTGTTCACTTTTATAATGAACAATTTTTTGCATATTTTGCATAAATTATTACCATATTAATTATTTGTATAAATTAGTCAATAGGAACTTAGCTCAGCTTCTGTGTCATATCACCTCCATTGAAAATTCAGTTACTAATTTCACTGTGAGTTATAAAGCAGTTTCCAGGGGTAAAGATTAAGTAGAACTCAGATATTAACCTGTTAAGAATATTAGTACTTCTAGGGTAAATCTATGTATTACAAAGTTACTCAATTTGCTGCCTAGTGATGTACCAAATACCTTCTTTCTTTTCTCAGTAACTAAAGCCCATTTTAGATTTTTTTCCCCCTGGCTTTGAACTCCTGGACTGAGCCCCCACCTCAGTCTCCCAAGCTCTGGGATTTACAGGTGTGTGCCACCAGGCTAGCTTCAGTGTTAGACTTTCAATCGAAAATATGTTTCAGAATATCATGGAGTATTTGCTGATGAGCGCATTCTCTGCCAAGTACGCACATGCTTGCAGCTTTAGAAGAAGATGTTAAAAAGCATGATCGTGTGTTGAGTTCCACAGACGACAGGACCAGAGACTGGATCCTAAAAACAGTGGTGACATCACTCCCAGTAAAAATAGAAAACTAACTGATGTTCAACCAAAACAATATGTGGTACCGAATGAACTAAAGTGGCTCAATTTCTAACTTTTAACCATGCTGTCATTTGTACTGCAGGAGAAATACCTGCGAAACTGCCAACCATTTTCCAACCTCTCAGGAAACTTGGCCTTATTAAAGTTGTTATTGGTTTGTGCTAGGCTGCTTTTTCTTATCGTTTTTCTTAGTAGCTTTTCCACCTAATCAAAATACATCTCCTAAGAGAGAAACCTTGGGTTACTCAACCATTATTCCATGATGACCCTTGCTTTTGTTTTCTTTCGTAAGGATGCTTTATAAAATTTGGTTGAGAAGAAATAAGATCTGAATGAGAGAAACCAGATAGACAGAGATTTTTTTTCCTATCCAAGTTTCACCCCATCAGTGCTGTTTGAAGCTGTCCAAGTGTCCTTACCTGGCCTCTGTGCAGATGTGTTAACCCTCTCTGCAGAGGCTGGTGAGCTCTTCAGCGCAGGGCAAGATGGGAAAGAGCTTCAGCTTTCTGAGCCCAGCTTATGCTCTTGCTGCATTCTGCCTTACTATCAAGCAGCAGCATTCCCAGTTGAATGGATTTTTCTGGAAAGGGTACGTTTTAGCTGTATCCTATATGAACAGAACCTCCATGGCTCAAGTTGAGATTTTGTCATTAGGATTTATGAACAGGCAGATTTTGTGAACGTTATTGATACAGGCGCTGATTTAAGAGACGTCCACAGAATGCAGTTTGATTGTCCCAGCTAGCTGATTTCGAAGAAGGGAACCTGATAACCTGGGTAGTTGGGTTCCACATGCCGGTTATATGGACAAAGAAAATACCTTCTTTCCCATGTGCAGAGACATTGTATTAAACTAATCCAAAATACAGAGATCATATTTTTCTTTCTCTTAGCAGACAGGGATTCAGTAATGACATGTAGATGTCATTTGACTGTATGTGCTCATTTTCTCGTCTCTACTACTATTTACTCCTGGGATTTTTACTCACTCCCTTAATCTCTGGACTCCTGTCCCACCTGTCAGAGTGGCTCTGTCTCATCCACTGTTCCTTTCCCTTCAACACCTTAGTCATTTTTATCATTAACATTTGGAAAAGGGCAGATATGATTTTGTCCATCACCATACCCAAGGGAGCAATGGGGCAGCTCTTCCCATCTTTATATATGGTTCCTATATTTCATCATTCACCAATGAAGTGAGGTAATAAACATTAAAACAAGTGGAAAGGAAATAGCCACCCATCCACTTTGTGGTGAGATGGGATTCATAGCCAGAGGGTCTCTTTCATGTTTAATGGATCTTTGACTGACTGGGCAAGGGAAGATTCTTTTAATCTTTCTAAATGATCTATAAAAGAGACTTAGAGAGCCCCATGAGATTGGATCTCAGAGCTTACAGCCTCTTTTACCCTTTTAGTGAATTTTAAAATGGTTCAGAATGTTATATAATGCTGTGTAATCGGAATTCACATCCCCACTGCAAATGGCATCTTTGAACTCTGAGGTAACAAATTAGGTCATCTCTGAGGATGTAAAAAGACATGTATGTTTAGTGGGGGGTGGATAAAATAAATATAACATGAACCTTTTCTCCCTATCATATACCAGAGACTTAAAATGCTTTTCAAGTACCTTTATAAAGTATGTTTAAAAAAAAAAGCTAAGAAGTGAGTGTTACAGCCTTAATGTCCAAAATTTTAACTAACAGTCAAAGCCTTGAAATATTGTTTGTAAGGGCCAATGAGATGGGTCCAATAACCCCAGTTCAATCCCCAAGACCTACATAGAGGTCTACATATAGTGAGCCTACATATAAAATATGCTATTTAGCATATACATTAATGGGTTTCATCATGATATTTTCATGCTTGTATAATCATCTTCTTTGGTCATATTTGTTCCCCATTACCCTCCCTCGTCCCCGTTTCTCCCCCAAATAGTCCCTCTTCTAGTTCCACATGTGTGTATGCCTGTGGGGACAGAGGGAAAGGGGGAGGGGGAAGAAAGAGAGAGATTGATTTTGCATATAAAAGAAAATGTAGTATTTATCTTTCTGGATCTGGCTATTTCACTTAGCATGATGACTTCTAGTTCATTCCATTTTCCTGCAGATGACATCATTTCATTCTTGTGTATATATGATGCATTTCCGTTATCCTTATGTCTGTTGATGAGAATATGGACTGGTTTCCTATCTTGGCTACTGTAAATAATGTCACAATAAAATGAATGATGCTGATATCTCTAAACAGTCAAAGCTTAAGAGTATCTTCATTGGAAGTACTCAGCATTGCTCGGTATCTGTAACTCAGGGGTAGAGTGCATGTGTAGCATGCACGAAACCCTGGCTTCAAGCGGCATCACTGCATAAAAGTAGATGTGGTTACCCATGCCTGGAATCCTAGGACTTGAGAGGTGGCAGCAAGGGGATTCAAAGTTCAAGATCCTTCTTGGCAACATAGTGAGTTCAAGGCCAGCCTGGGATTCATGAGACACTGTCAAGAAAAGGAAGGGAGGGAGGGAGGGAGGAAAGGAGGGAGAGAAGGAAGGAAGGAAGGAAGGAAGGAAGGAAGGAAGGAAGGAAGGAAGGAAGGAAGGAGGGAAGGAAAACAGAATAAAGTAGAATAAAGGCTTTGACTGCACAAGGACTCAAGTGTCAACCTCTGCTCATAGTCCATTCGTTTCTTGAGTGTCCAGTGTCAGGACAGGTAATGAGTGAAGAGTGGTCTCCATACTTTACTGACAGGAGATTCATGGAAAGCTCTTCTGCCTGGTGCTGTAACTTAGAGTACCGTGTTGGGAGTATCACATTTGTCAGAAGGACAATGGCACTTCTCTCTGGTTTGTACAGAATGAAAGAGCAAAACCAAGGCCAGGCCTGGGGAGCTTGTGGGGCAGGCTCTACCCAGATGCTCTGCGCTGAGCCTTTCGAGGCATCTGTGACTGGGACAAATGGAATCTAAGCTGGTCTTTGTTCTAGGACACGCTGCCTTTGAGGACAACAGAGTGTTGTAGAATCTGGAGACAGTTTCTAACAAGGCTCAGTTTCCCCGGTGATCTTGGGGAAGGCAGAATTGCTGGGTGTGGAAATGGCAGTGTGTGTCTATACCAATCTAATGGCTGTGTGGGAGTTCTTTGGATCATCCATATGCCCTGCACCTAAGGAGAAAGGCTAAGTACTGAGCTCGAAGGCTAACCAGAAAGGTTATCACAGGTTCTATTGTCATATGCTTAGGTCCTCTTTGTATAAACCCCCCTTTAACTTAAACAGCATTTATCATGCTGACACTTTTTAATGGGGCTCATCTGGATGGAAACCTTTTTAATCCTGAGGGGGAAATGTGTTCCCTCCTAGACTGTAGGACCTGGCAGGGATATTTTTTCAGTGAAGGTCTATTCTGTGGGTGGATTTAATAAAGAATTTGCACTACAGTACTTGGCATAATTTCACCAACATTGCTTAATGTGGTGTCTGAGCACTTTGGTGTGGACGCATCTTTTCATTTTGTCTTCTAAGGACTCTCATAGTGAGTGCATGGGGGCTTTCTTAAAATCATTCGAGATTTATGGTCCTTTAGAAGCAGATCTGATAATCCCCTGCTTGTGCGGAAGGTACTTTTTCAGCAGTGTTTTTCATAGAGTGTGCTGCACGTAGAATCGACGTGAGTGTGTTCTCGGCTTTTTTCATTGTTGATGTTG